CTGTATCGTGATACGTATCGTATCGTGGCCTCTGTATCGTGATACGTATCGTATCGTGACTTTGCTGGTGATACACAGCCCTAAAAAGCATAATGTCAAAAACTTCAGAGTGCTAAATCTGTACTGATATCATCATAGAGAATGAAGCCTCAATTTCAAGAATTTAATTTTTGAAAAGGAAACCTTGAGTAGTTTGACAATCTTAATCATAATCAGGATTAATATTTCTTAGAAAAGCAGTACAAATTAGCAGTGTAGCAACATTTGGAAAACTTTTGTTCACTAAATCAAAGTCGTGTGGTGCAACAAACATGCGGGGGCAAAAATAAGAATAAAAAGGAAATGATATAATGGAGACCCACATGGCTGTCAGTAAATATCTTAAAATATCAGAATTTGATCTTTTTTGACAAAGCAAGGTCATGTGGTGCAACTCACTTCAGACTTTACTTTAACTCAAATTTATTAGAAAAAACATTCTGCTTTGAAAAACATTTTTGAAAATAATTAAGAAGTGAATACTTGAGGAGTAAGGAACATATAGTATTACTTTTAAATTGTTAAATCACATGGCATTTTTTAGAGTCATTATATTAAAATACTTCTTGAAAATGATATATTCAGTTTTTCAAAACCATATGAAACCAACAAAAGTACAAAGAGTACATTTCTAGGAGCTTGGCTGTTTTAAACTAGGTTTTGAAAAGACACTTTTATTGGTTGCAGTACAGTAAAATTCCTCCATTTCATTCCTCACTCAAATTTTCCTTCCTTTCTTCACATGCAGGTACGAATCTGTCGTCATAGGCAATGGCTTAGCCAATCAGGTGTCTAATCCAGATGTGGAAGTTGACATCACTAAACCAGACATGGTGATTCGGCGGCAGATAGCAGTGCTGAAGGAAATGACCAGCCGGCTTAAGGCTGCTTACACTGGCACCGACATCTCATTTGTCAATGGTACGAGAGGCATCTGTTTTGTTTGAGTTACAGTTGTGGTTCAAATCAAGTGAAATTCATTATGAAATGTCAAGATGATGTCATACGAGCCTGTTTTTAATGTTTATCTCTTTCTTTCCTGGCTCTTCAGAGGATGCCGGCAGTGGAGAGGAAAGCGGAAGTGGCTGTGACTCGCCCCCTTGCGACAGTGACGGGGACATCTACTTCTCCACCCCAGCACCCGCTAAACCTCGCATTATCAAGATTCAACCTGACAAACAGCCCTCTAGTGGTACACGGTTGGCACCTTTCAGCCTGGCGCTGGCTGTGATGGCACTCCTGCTCGCCCTGCTCACCCCACACACGAGATAAGACCGGCCAAGAGAGGAACAGGATGTGTGTTTGTACGAATTTGAACAAGAGAGCAGAAAACTGCCATAGGACATTAAAGACACTGCTTTCAGGATCTCCGTCTGCCTGCTATCTGGGGAAGACACTCGAGTTATTAATATTCAAATAACTTCCCTTCAGTGTATTATTTGTGTTTATAAGAACGGACTTCATTTATGTACAGCTATATGTTTCCATGCAGCATTTCACGTCAGCTGGGTTTTATTCCTCCATGTCTGTAGTGTCCAGAATCGTTGACGACTCATCATGATTTTTTCGGTTATAAATAAGTGTTAGTTTGAAAGTAAGTCAGATTGAGTGCGTGTTTGGGTGGATGAGTGTACAATTGGCTGTATATATCATCCGAGCGCTTTTTATAAAACGTAAACAATTAATCAACCCATATAACAAGCAAATCTGTATGAAGTACTCCGATTTTTTTTAATACATTTTGAGCATGTGTGTTGGTGTGCATGGAGGCTTTGGTTGGCTGCAGATCATATATATGTTCTTGAATTTTAGAGGATGATAAAAACTTCATGATGCCTTAAATACTTCATAAATGGGCATTTTATCTGGGTTGCGACTGACAAAAATGTATACAATGCTGCCTTATGAGTGAAATCAAAACTAGAGGATTCCAGACACAAAGTGTTTTTTTTTTTTTTTCTGTATGTTTCCAACTTTCACATCCCCTGTATCATCATCCCAAATATTTTCAGCAGTATAATGTATAACTTGAGAATATAGTCTTCAGTATGTGTGTGATGAAGAAGGAGCTTTGGTTAGGTAAGGTCTGTCTGAAAGTTGATACTTTGAATAGGCCTTGATGGTTCCCTCAAAGATGATCATGTATTCTGCATGATGTGGACTGTGTGGCCAGAGTAAAGTTGTTTTTTACTGGACATTTCAAGGAGAGCCAGCTGGATACGAGTGTATGCTGAAGATGGCTTAAGGCTGAGCTGTCTGGAGGAATTTTACACAGGGTTTTATGTGGAGGTGCTTATTTTGCTTGAAGTGTACTGTAAGGTATAAAACTGTATGATAGGTACTGCAGCAGATTTCACTACACAGTGACAGACGGTGCTGATTTGAGAGGTTGGGTGGCCTCTTTTAGTTTTTGTTTCTTTAATTTCTGTTTGTAACTTAAAATGTCCAGCCTTTTCCCCATACCCGATTGATATCCATAGAAATCGGTACACATTTTAAAACCATTCCTCATATAGAGCAATAGACAGTGTGTGTGGTACGTTACAACACCAGTTTCAAAAGTGGCTATGCATGCGAGTTCCCATTCAGATGGCTGACAAGTGCTTGTTGGTTGGTTTAAAAGAAAATCTCTCTCGGTCTCAAGGGCTTTCCACCCACCTCTCAGAAAAACTAGCTCCCCTCGCTCTTGTACAGTAAGTTATTTAACCACATGTCTCTTTGAAAGGCATTCGCAAGCATCGCTTTCCTAGGTATCTTAATTTCAGTCTTCACAATATTTATGTCTGCTGATGAATGAATTCACAGTTTAACCGATGGTTTTATTTTGGCTTCAGATTTCATGTTACATAATATTTAGATTTTGTAAACCGAGCTACCGTAAGCATTTGTTTTGTCGTTACAGTTTTATGTAAGGGGATTGTGAAAATTGTACAAGCTGATGCAAGGACAGGGCTGGCCATCGGTCCTTGATCGTTCCTGATGTCACATGCACTTTTAATTGGCATTCAGATACCTCACGGCAAAGAGTTTTAAATGATGCTTTTAATCGTATCTGCAACATGCATACTTTTTACGTTCATTTTTCTTCATTCGAGGTTCATTCAGTATCTATGGATGAATGGCCAGTCCTCAGACATGGAAAAGAATCGTCAGGGTTTCATGAGCCTGAAATGAGTAGATCTCTACAGCAGCACCTCAGATTGATTATGTATTTTTCTAGTCTGATGTGCTGCCACGAATAGAAAGCAATATGTGTTTTCTATACTTTTGACCCAAAGCTTCCCACTGTCACATATTAAGATGGCTCTGATGTAATTACCAGGAAAGGAAGTGTCTTGTGCTTAGTATGTCAAGCTACTCCGAGTCAGTGTGAAGATGACATGAACTCTTGAATGAACCTCTGCAATGTCCTCTTTAGATTGATTGCTGACCTTGAGTTGGACAGATCGCTGGGCCTGCAGCCCTGTACATCAATGGAGTCATCTGTGATGAGGAGTGAGAGACACTGAAGAAAGAAAAGAAAACAATTTGTAAATAATGAGCAGTCGTTTTAGTGGTCTCTGAGAGATGTTCATCAGATTTTACCCATTCAGAGTTTGTGCTTAATATGGGCGAAACAAAGAGATAGATGCTAAAAATGTAAGAGAAAAGTTATATTAAACAGTTCTTAGTCTTGTTGAAATAAAGACTGCAGATATTTAAATGTGTCGTGTGTCATTTCTGCTCTGTTGTGCTTTACTAGGATTAGTTCAACCAAAATGCTTTGAAAATCTCTTTGAGAGACCAATTAGTAAAACACAGAAGAAAACAAAGGATGACTTAAAACAATCATGAACACTGATTAATCACAGCCATTAATTAAGCTGCAGCGTTAAATATTCCTTTAGTCTTCATGTGTTAAGTCAACAAACTTGTCAAGATGAGATGAAGACTGCCAGACTATTAATGTCCCATATAGTTGTTTTCTTCCAATAGTACAGAAAATAAATGTGATGGAGACCATGTATGGAGAATTCTACACCTTCAGAGACTCATTTATTACACAAGATACAAAACGGTAAATTCTAAGTGAAATATTAATCAATGTTAGCTTAGATTCCTGATGTTGAAATATTCTCACGTTAAAGAAAACCATATCCAGTATTGGACATTAATAACTTTTTATATCCGGCAGTTAATCAATGTTTGCTTTCTGACATGCTATTTTGAAGATTTATTTATTATAGCACTTCATACATATAGCGCTTTACAGATGTAATAGACTATAAGACAATATCAACCAGCGAAAATAACATTGGCTTTGCCTGTAAAGCAGTATTGTAATTCAAATTAAGGTGTGTGTGTGTGTTTGGTCCTAGTATTCCCTATGGGGACCAAATGTAGTAATACCAGTAAATTTTGACCTTGAAGGGACATTTTTTTGGTCCCCATGGGGGAACATTATAAATCATACTCAATTATCTTTTTTTTTTAAATCTAAAAATGCATAAAGTTTTATGTGAGATGTAGGTTTAGGGGTAGGGTTGGAGTAAGGGAATAGAAAATACAGTTTGTACAGTATAAAAATCATTCCGCCTATGGAATGTCCCCATAACACATGGAAACCTGTGTGTGTGCGTTAACAAATATTGTTTTGTTTATCAGAAGAAACATTTTAGCCAATTAAATGTCTAGACAGTTACTTGCAGACAGTCTTGCAAATTGAAAACAGAATTTGTTAAATATTTCCGAATGGGGGCTTTTATTATGAAGATTCAAATGCGGATGGGGGCGGTATGGACTACTGGGAAAGGAAAACGAGGAACGGGGAAGAGCGAGTACGAAATTGTGGCAGAGGTAAACAGCAGAAGTTATCTGAAGATCTCAAAGCAATGCGATGCTAGTACGAGCAGGAAAGCCTCCTGGAAACATGTAGACATCAACTAGGTTCGACACGAGCAGACCAACATCCAGAAAAAGCGCTGGGCGTGTTCATGTTTTGATGTGCTGAGGCTCGAGTCACAGGTTTTGTTCAACAACATTCCTCCCGGCCGACGCGACGCGGTGGAGGAACCGCACAACTGAGTATGCTTTCGCTTTTCCAGCGAGAAGATGGATGAAAAATCCTACTACAGCCGGCTCCTCGTCGCACTCCTGATGGTCCTGTGTTTCGGTGTTATTGTATTACAATACGTCTGCCCTACGTCCGACTGCCAGTTGCTCCACCTGGCATCATTGTCCTCGAGACTGGGAGGCCGCGCGCCTGGGGATCGCATGAACGGAGCCGGTGCGGGAGATCCGTACAGCTCAGAGGACGGTGCTTTGTTTCGATTCGTGCCTCGCTTTAATTTCACCACCAAAGACCTTAATCGCGCTGTAGACTTCAACATCAAGGGGAACGATGTTATAGTGTTCCTCCACATTCAGAAAACCGGGGGGACCACGTTCGGCCGTCACCTCGTTCGCAACATCCAGCTGGAGAGGCCGTGCGAGTGCCATGCGGGTCAGAAGAAGTGTACCTGCTACCGGCCGGGCAAACTGGACACCTGGCTGTTCTCTCGTTTCTCCACCGGCTGGAGCTGCGGGCTGCACGCGGACTGGACGGAGCTCACCAACTGCGTGCCTTCCTTCATGGGCAACCGGGAGTCTCAGGAGAGGCACAGGACTCCTAGGTGAGGGTTTAATTGTTTTTTTTTATCAGTATATCAAACTAATTTAGTGTCTATAATGGACTGAGACGCGTCTTGATAAACAAACTTATTTCTTTTGTTATGGTGCTGTGTGGTGTCACGGTGCGCTTCGCCACTCCTTCCCCTCATATTGTTCTCGTTCAGTTCAGTTCAGTGCTGAAGCCCCTTAGCGAGTCAATTATGCGGAGACAAAAACCTCCAACAGGTCAGGCTCAACCTCAGAGAGTCTGCTTTCATTCAGCGCATTCCTGCAACAGGGGACCCATCATCATAATCATTCACCCTTTCAGACACCCTGGAGGGCAGACAGCCTGCTGGCACCAGAACATCTGCCATTTTCTCAGGCTTGTCCTTTAAATTAACTCCCTGTAGCATGGGATAAACACTGTTTGATAATGTTTGAATTGGGAGGCATTGGATTTGATGAATAAGTGTTGAGTCCTTAGAAGCGCAGTAGGTTGGTTCTGTTTTTATACTATTGTTCAAATGTTCTTTCTATTCATCAAAGAATCCTGACAAAATCAGTTTTCACAGAACTGTTTTCAACACTGTCAATAATAAATGTTTGTTGAGCAGCAAATCAGCATATTAGAATGATTTCAGAAGGATCTGAATACTGTAGTAATGATACTGAAAATTCAGCTTTGCTATCACATAAATAAATGACATTTGGAAA